AAATCCAAAATATTTGGAAAATTTATTTACAAAATATTTGAATTTCATTGAATTACGTATTTTGCATTCTAAACTTTTTGATCAGTTTTAGTCATTTTTTTTTTTTAGGTTAGGTTAGGTTAGATTATGTTCGACTCTAGGTTTTGAAAACTAACATAGATGTGTTTTGGGGCTGACACCTATGGCATTGGTGTTAGTCGTCAATGATGATTAGTGTGAGTGCGATTGTATGCGAGTACCGGTCTATTTACCTTCTCGTTGCATGTCAATGGCGCCGCTGACCAAAAATTAAAAGCGTAATTTTTTCTCAAAACACTCTTTACAGGAAAAACTCTCACGCATTGGAGAGGGGTCTGATTTGGTTATTTTTTTTTAGTTAGAAATGAGATATTTTCTACAGGGCTCATTGGACTTCGATTATTAATTTCGTTGCTTAAAACAAACATAGTAAAAAGAACAAAAGCTTGAGAAAAATTGGTCATATTCAAAATCATTTTATATGGTATAGGAATAGAATTTAAAAAATTAAAGTTCAATGCTGAATATAAGAAATGTTTCGTTTTCCAAAAAAAAAAAAATATCGAAATCGAATCGAATCACTCTACGATGCGTGAGAGTTTTTCCTGTAAGACATGTTTTTATTGGACGCCTAATTTGTATATTAACTAGTATTATAAATAGATTAAATGTCAATTGTCTTACACTAAAATTTAGTTTTATTAGTATTATGTAACTATTAAAATTAACTTATGTGTTATTATTTATTATTTACATGGTTTTGTTGCATAGTTATTTTATGACCGTATTCATATTTTGTAGTTAGTTATAAGTTACAGGATTCAGGACTTATAGCACTTAAAAACATAATTATAAACTCTAAAATAAATATAACTTATATATTTTAAGTTACCTACCTAGATGGTATATATGTGTATTATAAGCTATTAGCTAGGCTCTCGAGCCAGGACAGTTAGACACCTAACCTAACCTAACCTTGGTATGCAGTAGATCAGAACATTATGCCGATAAAGGGCTTAGGACTCCAAGGAAAAGAAGGAACAGCTGTTGAAGCAAAGAAAGCAACATTATGGGGGCAACCACAGTACGCGAATCGATAATGAACCGACCGGTAATGAACACAACCACTTCAATAAAAAATATTCTAATTAAAATATCTGTAATTTTGCAAACTGTAATTGTAATTATTGTGCTTGTTGTTTGTGTAAATTTAATTAATGAGGTTATGTATAAATAAATGATAGTGGCCCGGCGGAAAAGCAAAGCATAGGAAGTCCTCCGCCGGGTCAACGATCCAGGATAAAAATAAATAAATAAAAAATGGTAGTTAGTAGACAGTAGTAGTAACTGGCAATAATAGTAGTACTGCATTAGATAAGTATTATATAGTTATGTATAATATATCTATTACCTACATACTATAAATATAATAAATTAGGAGTTTAGCCTGGTTTACGTTCATTAAACTGAGAGACATTCGTGGAAACACGACTATCTATTAGAAAATGTTAATAATAATAATATAACAATAAATAGTCATCACAGCGTATAAATCGGACAAAGATGGCGACTGCCGGCCTTACAAGGTTAGACTATTATTAATTCGCACGGCTATTATGGAACAATATTATTTTACGTTTACGCCGTAATAATCTCATGCCTAACATATAATATATTATATGCAAATAAAATTCGATCTCACAATACAACAGAAGTCGGGAAAAATATTTCCTATGGTGCAAGGTGCTCATACCAAGGACATTTATGTTCAGATAGCATCATCGCCGCGTATTGTATTTTTTTATAATATATATACATTATATAATATATCTATATTTATGTACGGACGTTATTATTAAGCACTTCAGTAACCTACAGCTAGATAGGTATACTTACTGCGTGCGGATAAGTCGAAAATCTTTACATTACACAGTTCCACATTCCATTTAATTGATTCATTCCTAGGCATAGTACATAGGCACCATCATAATCATACGCGTGCGATAATAACTAATAAGGTTCGAGGTTTTCGGCAATAAAATGGTATAAAGGTGTTCCAAATTCCGCTTCTTCCTTGTTCGCTCTAAAGCCGTGTGCAACGATACTCAAAATTATTATTAAGGTGAATTTTCGGCACTATACTCGTGTGCCGTACGTAGGTACATACGAAAAATATTCAGCTATATGTCCAACAACACGGTAACGTCGTTAACCGAATGTTAACCTATGCTAACCAACCAATCGCAGTAAAGGATTTTAATCGAAAGTCTAGAGCGGAAACCCGCCTTTAACGTCATCGACCATCCGATACCGCAGGTCACCGCAAAGTTGAACATATTTTCAAACCGCGCTCGACGCGTGGACACAACGTTTACCAATGGCCCATAATATTTTGTAAATTAACTGGTATCAAACCTATCATATTATGTTTAATGTCAACCGATATTAAACATAATAACAATCGGTAGGTTACCATACCCGTGTAGATTACCAAAACCACGAAAAACTTAGTACAAGAGATACGGTTGGTTTAAGTGTTTTCTGTGTATCGGTTCTAAGACATAAACAATTGGCTTTCGATTTCAACACCATCAACCCTATCTAGGTTTTCGGTATCCCGGTACTTATTAAAGTACCTACACTGTCTCTGTATTCCGAGCATAGACGCATATTAAGTCCGTGATTCCGAGTAACCGCGATGTGGTCCGTGTTCAGAATTTTCTTGTTATTTACCAAAATAAATAATATATTTAGATAATAATATCTGTCATAAATAAGTAAATTATTACTATTACCTACCTATTACTTAACCCACGTCGAGTAGTTAAATGTTTTCAACTATTTGGTATATTGTGGTAATACGTTGGTAATAACCACACGGTTTACGCACGGAACACGGAGTCGGACTGACAGTGTTTTTACAGTACGTACCCGTATTACTACATATACCTAACCTACTATTTACCGGATATATTATATAAGGTAGGCAGGCATGAAGATTTGATTATTATTGGACTAGCTGACCCGACACGGCGTTGCCCGTGTGTTAGTTTCTTTTTTGGCATTTTCATAGGCCGTGTGTCAGTGTTTAATGTTTAATTGTATTGATAGTACTAATATTACGTGGAATTCACAATTTAATGTGTGTGTGTGTGTGTTTGAGTATAGAATGTTAGGTTTAAGATTGGAAGTTATGGAGGCAAAGGAAGGAATAGCTTCCTGCAGATGAGGGGTAATGGTGAAGATCTCACAAGATACCTTAAAATAATTTAGTTCCCCACAAATCGCTTAATTATTACTTATTATAGAAGGTTCTATCACATTAAAGTTTCGATGTTAACGACATTACATTTATTATCTTAGCGTTTTATAAACACTGCGAATTTTTTTTTTAAACTCACCATTTTATAGACAGCCTCAAAAAACATTGTTTGTTTTTCACTATCTACCCACTTAGTATTTATTCATTTGTACAACTCGAAATTTAAGACGCCCCAACATGCACCTCAGGGTTTTATCATCACCAAATATATTTTCACTGACTGCCGTAAGCTCAGGACAGCAAATATTTGTTACCTTTTCTGGTAGCTTTAGCCGTGTCAGCCAATCAGGATGCCGAACTCTATCTCCGCCGCCATCAAGTATTCAAGTTCGTCATTGCTTCCAATTTAATCAACAAATTGAACAAAAATAAATTAGTATCTGTCAACTGTTCATTAAGACAAGACGTTTATTTCTTGTTACATAATGTTTACACTTCTTAACCGTGTAAATCCATTTGTATGCAATTCATAGATTGTAAAATAAAATACCCGTAAATAAATATCTGTTAATTTCTAAATAGTGGTTACTCTGACGCAACGTATGAAAAACAATTTTCAATCTTAATTTCAAACACGATATCGTCGTCTTTCTATTTCAAGGTAAATTGATATAATAATTTGTTTTCGACTATTCTACCTACTTACATTTAAAATATATTAAATTTCGATTCTGTTTTTAGTTTTTTTGCCGAGTTTTAAGTTTCAGTTAGTAAAAAAATATAATTTACTATATAATTTATATGTATACCTAAATATCTGTAAACTTAATGCATACATATCAATTATCAAATATATATATAAACGTATGCACTTATATTCATTTCACAGAATCGCTTTTATTCATTTTTAGGTTTATTTTGATTACATTTTACAACCAAAATATATATTCAAGATCAATCCGTGAGTGCGGATTGTTCTACCAATTTTGTAAATAAATCGAAAATCATGACTACCATAATATATTTATATATGCACATTGCACATAAACGATTTGAAATCATTCCTGCTCTCATTAATAGTAAACACCGCAATATAGTATGAGAAATTTAAAATTATGCTCATAGGTTTCGGATTCGATACTTAAGCATTGACCAATCGAACACTATATAATTATAACACAGTACACCAGAACAAAAATATACTCTTATAGAGGGAAAAATGACTGGTTTTCGGTTTCTTAAAAGACATACAATTTTAAGGATGATAGTAAATACATGGGATGAAATAATAGAAATAAAAATAATAATAAGTTAAACTTCTTATTTCTGTAGCCGATCCCTGTCACGACTCTAGGAACAGGGATAAAATACACACAAGTATAGGCGATTACGATGTTCGCCAGCTACACTAGTCCGTGAACCGGAAGAATCAAAATGATGTGTGGGTGTTACATAATATTTGGTGGTCTATGAATATTATATGATCTACGAGTATTTACCTATATGTATGTTTTTAATATATTCAAATTATTATTATAGGGAAGTAAAATACCTGAATGTAATGAATTGATGTATCTTTCCAATTTATAATGAGTTTTGCCTATAAAAAAACTCACAACCTAAAAATATAATGAAACTCAACATTTAATAAATTACTAAAATATAAAATACAATTACAATTTAATATTATATTATAGGTGAAGATATTTTTGTAAATTTATTTTACGTTTAATTTAATACTAAATATATAATTTATAATGTTGTAAACACATTTTAGTTTATAGGAAATATCATTTTCAATAACACATAAGATAAATACAAAAGACATCCATAAATAATTGTTGATAAGACATAATAAGCAACCATAATTCTGCAAAACAAACATAAAATAATATATGAGTTAAAAAACTACAACACACTTTTATCATATACTGATTATGTATTAAATATTACTTTTGATGTCGTTTTTGGCCGACTGCTCGATCTTCAGAGTCTTTTAAGATGTATTTTTTGATTCCAAGTATGGTGTTCAAAAAATATTTTTCCCATTTTATATTTGTTATGTCCATGTTAAATAGTTTTTTATCCTTATCACTCTGTGACGATATGAGAGCTTGTAATTGTCTGTCATCAAATTTAAAATCGATGACACCAAAATATCTCATATCTTTCATCATAACGTTCATTTTGTTATAAATTTGTGTTACCCTACATAAAAATATTATGGCTTTGTTACAGGTTAAACATTAAAATACATAGTATAAGTAATCAAAAGTCGAGTGATATATTGATAGGTAGTTAAATGTTTTCACTCATTCGAAACATTGTGTAAAATGTTAATTATTGACTTTAAGGTTATATTATATTATAATAATATATAAACTCTAATTTCCATGAATTACAATAGACGGACGAAGGGCTTAAACCTCATAATTATTTATTTACACAGTATCTCTCACGATTTTTCAACGTATGTGTATTATGTACACAGGTAGTGTTCTAAAAAGGATGCTTACTTAAATTAGATGATATATTTTATTATTGTTTTTAGATTGAATATAATAATCAACAGATCTTATTTTTTCCTCCCGCATGTCCTAATCTTGACATCATAGGGATATGGACTTGTGATTGCAATATGATTTTCCTGACACGAGGCCAACGAAACCATCGCACTTTGGGGGGAGGTCTCATGACTCGTTTTATTTCTCTCCCTCTTTATTAGGAATTAAATAACTAAATATTTTTATATCATATTAAGGTTAAAAAAAAGTTGAAATCGTCAGTAAAAACTATATACTTAAATTACATTATTGTAATTTTTAATATTAAGTTGTTACTGGAAATATATAATTATGATCTAAGAATATTCTTACATCACATTCCTATTCCAGTATACTTATTAGTTATTACTTAGGTATATCAAATATTATACATATTTTATGGAAAATAAAAAGGTGATAATAAATATTTTTGACGACTGTAGGTATTGCAAAAAAAGTTAGGAGGATTCATCAACCCTCAACCCCTCCCCCAAGTCACATTAATTGTAAAAATACTAATGGTCAAGAAGTCCAATGTATATAATATACCTATAGAATAACAACAAAAAAAAATACCTAAGATATTTTAGTACATATTATAACATCGAAAGGTACACTGAAAATTTCATTCTTATGGTGTATAAAATATAGTTTATTACGTTAACAAATTATGGATACATTATAATCAAATACAATTTATTTTTTTATAGGAACCTATCACTTTTTTAAACTAGAATACGTATTTGTATAAGTATTAATTAAAAATATACTATTTACCTTGGTTTTTTCCCTGAAATCCACAAACAACTATCAACGAGATATGCTGGTAAATAATGGTATATAAAAAAAAGTATAGGAAATAATACTTTTGAACCTGTTATATACACACTTAGTTTCCAAATCTGCAGCATAAAACGAATTTAATAATTACAAAAATAATCAAACATTTTAATTTAATTATTGTACTATTCCGTTATTATCTATTAAAATGTTTACCTGTTTTTCCGAATTTAATTGATTTCTCATTAATAAGTCTATGACATACTGTACACTCTGACCGTATGTCAATGGTGGTGCCATATGGTTTGGAACGTAATTGAATACTGGAATTGTAGGTTTTGAACTGATAAAATAAAAACACAGATATTTAAAATTTAGTATGTAATATAATAATGATGAATAATTAAATTATTACAATATTTTATCGGTCAAACAGTACATATAGGTCCATTTTAAATTAAACTGGACATAAATAATTCTAAATAGGTTTGCGTATCGAGAAAATCTAGAAAGTATATCTAATGTTAATGGTTTTCTTTAATATTGAGACTTATTAAAAATTAATAGATTGAAATTTCTTAGTTTTGAACAATTTAATACCGAAAAATATATCCATTTATAAAATTAAAAACAAACAACTAAAGTGATGGGGGTTGGATACGTCTTTTTTAAAGTTAAATATTTGTTTATTTGTACATTTTAAGAGTAAATAAAAGTCGATGAATTAATCGTTGGGAATTTCATTTATGTATTTATGAAAAATGTTGCGTCGAGATTTCAATATGTATTTTTTTCTATTAAAAAAAAAGTTCATATAACAGCTCCAAAAATGACGAATGTTATCAAGTTGAATTAATGTATAAAATCCTAAAAAAAATAGTGTTGTAAATATTATAATACCGTTGTGATTCATGACATCTTTCCTGTAGTTTATCTGTTTAACTTTCAAAACACCAAACTCAGTTTTGGTTAAATATTATATAATATTTTTACAATGAGTATTTTTGTTTATCAAATTTACCGTGTCTTAGATGCATGATGAGCTGCAGTAATAATCATATTCGCTACATTATCGGCCGGCATGATTATTGCCCCAACATTCGGATCCACATGCACCACGTGTATAGCTCCTAAACCAACACCTAAACATAAACCGGGTACACTTTTCATTGTGTTTACCCATCCAGATATCGGTTCTTCATTCGTAAACGTGACTGTTGAAATCAAAATCAGAAAATAATTATATATATATATATTATTTATACACCATTTATCATCATATATTATAATTTAGAAAATTTTTGGTCTACTATTGAATTATTATTATTTTATATTACCTATTATTTTTATTATTAATATTATTATTATTATTATTATTGAATCATTATCATGTTTAAACTTTTATATTGTATCTAAATTTTAATTGTTTTGTGTTAAATTGTTGTAAAGGGCTTCGCCTGCTTAAATATATAAAATATAAATAAATAAATATATATATTATATTGAATCGTTTTTATGCTGACACAATAACTGGAAAAAAATCAAGCACTACTAGTCGGATGTACCTATAATAATATAAATCAACTTTACCAAGTAGGTATGAATATCTATATTTTTTAATTTCGGGATAATGTAGTATGCTGAAAATGTCTTCAAATATTTTGTTTAATATATTATTTGTTTTTAATATCAATAATATTTTTTTATTAAATTTTATGTATTCGTTCATGCATAATAATTATACTCCTCGCAGAATAAAAGTTTGAGATTTTTTACTTCACTTTAGACTCATTATCAGTAATTCAGTTATGTTATTATTACCGTAATTCAATGGGTTTATCATCACATATACAACTAACTCCACGTACTGACTACTGAGTACTATCACTGATCTCACAATAGATTTTTGAGCTTATTTTAAAACTGATTGATTTCAGTGATTCTCTAAGGTGTGAAGCCTTGCAGCGCTCTCGCGACCTTTTATTAAAAAACCACTAACGCGTGTGATGAAATGCAAAAACTTGTCGGTATATACCTATGCAAATATGCTGGGTGACATATTATGTATTATATGCTTATTAATATTTCAATTCTTGAGAATCGATAAATTTTTATTTGATTCATTGAATATTAGTATATTACAAACCGCATAATTAATTTAATTCATCATCTGCATTATAAATTTGTACCTACCGTAGTTGATCGATTAAATAAAACTCATCGAACAGTAAACATATAGTTACCTATTAAACTGTTGCTAATAAAAATATGGACCTACAAACTGCACTTAATACGATATTTTCTAGTATGGTGTTTTTATGCGTTTACGTATGATATATAATATTTTATTTTATTTTATTTTAAATTAGGTACGTTACATTACGGACTAATGCCCGAAGTACAGTTTTGAAAAGATATTGGAACAATATAACAGTCATGCATTAAATATTATATATATAAAAGCTTTAAAGGCTAGAGAGGTTCTCGTTTGGGTACTAACCATTTGGTTGACAGGGTGATTTTGGCCATAACTTGTGTTACGTCGATAGACGTAATAAGATGGCCTGGAGGATCTGCTCGGAATTATAAAATTTACTTGTGCTGGGAGACTACTAAGTTTTAAGTGGTATAAGACGGGTGCTAACAATCGTGTCAAATAATCGTGTTGATGTTATCTAGATATAAACCTTAAGACAAAAGGAGGCGAGATTAATTAACTTACGCTGAACTTGCTCAAATCGGATAGAGTTAGAGGATGTATAAGGATCCCCCATATTAGTATTATAATATATAGTTACCAATGCACGGTCTAGCCACACATATCGGCATGTTTTGACCATATTCCTTTACGAGATTCTCCGCGATGCACTTTGACAACGTGTAAGTGTTCGGCCACGATCCTAAACATCTTACAACACAGATAATGCGGATTAAAACGATATCGAAACATGCCAAATATTATTGTACCGATCAATGCATATATATACCGTTGAAGTTAATAGAGTTAATAATAATATATAAAAGATAAAGGACTTACTCGGGTGTTATAGAGTTCAAGACCGAGTCAGACATGTTTTCGACCAAATTGATCAAAGCGTCCCCTTTCATGTGACAATCGTAAATTATTTCTTCGGTGATCGGTTGATTAGGGTTCACGAACGCAGTGGACACATATACGAATGACTATAACATATACATAAACATCGTATTCGATCTCATTACACTTGACATTGTACAACGACGAGCATAATAATCGATTGAAATCATTTTCATTGCCCCCCAAAGTCGTCGTATTATGTATAATTACCTTAAGTCTGTGCATACGCCGAGCGATCAACAGCAAATCTCTGGTGGACCTGACGTTGATGAAACTCGTGTGCTTCAACGGTCCGTTGAGATTGATCGTGGCAGCGCAGTGAATGACGATATCCATGTTGGCGACCATGAACTCTTCGTCGGCAGCCGATAGACCCAAATTCGGTTCAGCGCAATCGCCGGCAATGAGAAATACTTTGTCGATGAAGTCCGGTTGCTCGTCCCACAGTCGAGTGAACAGCTGGAAAGTTCGATTATTATTATTGCGATTTTTGAACTTCGCGTTGTGTATTAAACGAAATCACGCGAATAACTCACAGTGGCACTGAACATTTCGCGCATCCGAGTCTGAGGGTCTTTATTTTTCTTCGGCCTGACTAAGAGGTACAACTTGCTCACCAAACATGTTCTGAAAAAAAGTAATAACAAGACGAATCTAATAAAGCTATGGACGCATACGGTACAACGTGAGCAGCAAAAATGTATTTACTGCAGGTACATATATAAAGTTATAACTATACGAAAACAGTATTTCGGGATGAAATGTTGTGAATAAAGTTTGTATAATATTTTATTTCGATCGCCTACAATAGTTATGGTCGATAGTTTAAGGACAAATTGAATGCGTGCATCCCATATCAATATCTTTTCGTTCTTGTAGCAATCGTTAGGTTGACAGTGGCCTAGGTAAATTGGGTCTGCGATAAATGATAATCTGCGTACATGTTGACACTATTATAAAGCAGGCATCTAATATCAAACGCCCATTTTTGCGACACCCTTTCGCCACAGCACAGTGGCGGATACAGGGAGGAGGGCTCGGGGCCTTGCAGCCCCAGACCCCTTCAACAGTTATTTTAAAATACAATAATAAAAATATATCATAGTAAAATTAATAATTATTATAGGTACCCAATTAACATGTACGATTCCTAATCCAACCATTATACAATTATATAATAACATTCCCTCAATAACCATTTCTTTTATTATTTTTAGGAAAACGTGAACTATAGAACATTATAATGTATGTATGGCTTAGAAGTATCTAATTTTTTACGAGGCCTCTCAACATGCAACCCTGGGTCCGCCACTGCCTCAGCCCACATGTAAACCCAAGTCCGAGCATTGAAACCACATAAAATAATTATGATAGATTATTAGATACTATTGTCATCAATACATAGAAAGTTGAAGATCTTTTAAACGTTGACTAAATGTTTACACTCCAGTTACTAATGGTTTATGGTCTATATTCCCTATAATATTATATTCCCGTACGATATCTATAAATCCAATACCACGGTTCAACTAACGTTTGGATAAATTCCATTTATTTTTGAAATGCATCACAAAATAAAAATGTAAGTATAATAATACAGTATAGACTATAGGTACCTACCTGAGAAGTTTTTCGACTAGAACGTGTCCGATGAATCCAGTAGCACCAGTTACGAAAACATTAGAACCCTTAAAAAATTTTTGTATTTCACTAATCGACTCGTCACCACTCATCGTTTTTTTTTTTATCACCAATTATTGATATAAACTTAAAAACTTAACTTTTACACACAAATCAAAAGAGAATATCACTGACTTGAATTTTTAAAAAAATGTATGGGTGCCTAACCCTCGGAAGAAATAGTGAAATAGTGGCTATTATGTATAGTCAATTATGAATTAAAAACCTCATTCTGAAAATAATGTCATAATTAATAGTGTATAATATTATGATGATTTATTCCGCTTTGATCGATTTTAATATTTCTCTTTAACCTTGAATTTTAGAATTTCATTATCGGTTGGTCGTCACATCATATATATATAATAGACTTTTGAAGTACATATTAGTATACGATTACACATGACACCATCAAAGGTTGTTCATAATACAAATATTCAAATTTAATTTACTACTTTAATTTGATCACGTGTAATTAAGTACTGTGTGCATGAACTTCCTCTATGTATATGCATATCCACATACATTTATGTTTTAATTTGTTAACTATGGTCTAGGTTGTTCCCAATACTATAGCTATATATAACAAACAAAAATATGTACCCATTATTAGTCTTCGTAACATATGTATTATAGTCATTGGAACAGTTATATTATTGTAATATAAGCGCTCAAAGTGTAAAAACGTGTATATTATCAAGTAGGTAGCACCTAAGCGACAATATAATATGATGACAAAGATGCCAAAGATATAACGAAGGAATATTATGATTTGCACCAATAGGTATTAATATAAACATTTAAAAATATTTAAAACAGTCAATAATCAGTATCAACTATCAAGTAAAATTATATAATCGTAAAAATAAGATAATATAATAAATAAAAATAGATTTACATAATAATAATTTACAACATTCATGACCCACGGTAGTTTATTATAACTGTATTAATGCTCGTCACTAACAAGAATAATTATTATAGTCATAGATGTATTCATTTACTGTTCTTGCGGAAGATTATTTTTTAGAACACCTAAATGACACATAGACCTAACCTGCACGGGCAATTTCTCTTAATATCTGTATTTTTGTTCATTAATAATGTGCATGAAATACCTTTATTTGTTTCATTGTGTTCGTAAAATGTTTTAACACAAAAACTCTATTAGTCTAAATTGTAATCAGATAATACATTTGTCGATCGAGATTATAATATGTTTCACGTTTTTGAACAATATAGTTCTAAAATAATGTTGTAAGCTAATAACCAATAATGAAGAAGCCTTACTTTTAATTTAAAAAAGAAAGTTCTAAATTTTAATATTTAAAACGAAGCTTCAATACCTGTGATTTTGGTGCTTTTGTACGAAACGATAAAATATGATTTAACTATATTAAAACTATAACGAACTGACCTAAGTAAAACGATTAAAACAACATCGACAGCAGTTAACAAGCTATTTTTTGACAAAAAATTTTTTTCTACCAAAGGCGATCGTAATATTTAACGTGCCAATAAATTGTACATATAGATGTACAAATCGTATTATGTTAGTATAGTAAGTAACCTAGTATGTTGAAAACAAAAATTAGATTTACATAATTTAAATCATAAAATAATACATATAGAGATGAAAAAAACGTGCTAGTACTATCGTGAGGATGGCTAGCTTAAGCTAGCTATAAATGTGTGGGTGGGTGGGTGTTGATGTCCATTACTTATCGTGCTCTTCCGTCGGAGCATTAGACGTAAGTACCGCCGAACAATAAAAACAAAACAAATCGTGACCAACTACGTCCTATGATCTATAAATAATATTCAAAATACCCTGTAATGTTTACAGAGACTCGTTGTCTTATAGGTTTTTGATTTCAATGGTGTCTTTCGTTCAGTAATGCGACGTTGCAATAAAATATTATACGACTCCCTTCCGCGGTTTAGATCGCAATATAACTAATGCACGAATGGTACACCCAATGATTTCCTGGTTCGACATAATTATTTACTATCACACGATATATTCATACGTACTTACACGATACTTGCTGTATAGGCACTCTCAAATTGCCTCCCAAATCTATAGATGGGTGAAATTTTTTCACTCGAATCGCGTCCCATATAGCATAGTTTGTTATTTTTATTTTGTAAATAATAATTTATACGGTCGAGTCTCGATGATTCGCACCTATAGATAGCTGGATTTTTTTCTTGCCCCCTTTAAGTGTTTTTATGTTTTGTTTGAAGTATATACAACTCGACAACTACATCAGCTGAATTCACTTGTATTTTCTTTGCAATTCGGGTTATTGAGACTCGATTGTACATCTAGATGTATTAAGATATTTATAATGTTATTTATTAACTTAAATTTAAATTAAATCAATCATCATAGTCGTCAATAATTGTCGTCCATGCGTTCATAATTATTGGTTTTCATTTTTAAAAAAATCTATGTTTGAGATTTGAAATAGAAATCGATTAGTCATATATTTATTTATTACATTATCTATCTTAGGCGGTTACAATACAACTCAAAATAGGAGTTATATTATTGAAATCGATAGAAGCAATTCAAATATAACCTATTTAAAAAATAAACCGCGGAAGGTTATTTGAGAGTCAGATGGGAGGTGATTCGTGTGCGCCCTGGTTAAATATAACGTAAAAAATAAATAATTCACGGCCATCCAAGTATAGCAACATTGAATATTTACAGGAAACCGATTTCAAAAATACTGTAATTGGAATACAAATCGTCGGTAACTATATTCATCCCAGGTAAAACGATAATTATTATCAATTATCAAACATATATATAAATTTCTAAGTATTCTAGCATTTTTGATTACAAACTATAATTGAGTATACCTACTAATTCTCAAAAAATGTTGAGTCGCAGATGTTGGCTATCAACAATTATTTTACCTGTTGTTTTAGTAGTAATCGGAAAAAAGTTCCCCAATATTTTTTTTTTCATATCATGTGTTTCGACGTAGCAAGATAAAAACTATTAATTTGCATAAAACAAATTAAAACGTTTTTAAATTACTATGGAAATTTCAATAAATGCATATCCAACATTTTTATAATCAGCTCTTTTGGTTCATTGGTAAGGGTGATTATTAAAACATACAAATGAAAATAGAAAAAACGAAATGTTTTAATAAAAATATAAACAAATCTAGTGGACTTTTTAAATTGTAATTGCATGCTTTAATTACGACGACGTTAATACATTCATATTATAATAAATGTAGAAGGTTTTTGATTTTATATTTGGCAAAAGTATTGTAATGTGTCTTTAGCGGCCTACACCTCGGGGCGCAACTATATTATGTAAATAAACAATTTCAGTAAATTTTCATTTTTTTTTTTTGTGAGCACTTGAATTTTTTCTTCTCGGGCAATACCTCGTGGTTCAATATACAATATACGTATTTACCCATATAGTTATAACTTATATATTGAAAAGTTATCTCCCTCTCCATCGTCATAATATTTTTGTTGCAATGTATTGTTGATAGATGATTAAGCTACAAAATGAACAGTGACACGCAGTTTTTTTATCGAATTTGTTCTCTCTAGCATTAATTATTTATGGTTTTAACCAGTATAGCTTTATATAGCTTAAAGCTTTCTTAATCTGGGCGTCCACTGGGTCTGAGAGGTCGGTGCGGCGCGACGCAACGCGGAGCGGAACCATAATAAAATGCCTGTAAACTAATATAGTTTCGTCCACAAGAAGGTCGACCCGGCGCGACGCGACGCGGCACCGCTCTCGGGAGCTCCTGCGACTTTTCGAGGTCGGCGTCGCGTCGAGCCGCGCTGGCTTTTCGGTCTAATGGACGCCCAGCTTTATATTCCAAAAAAAAGTATTACATAAAATGTTACCGATGAATCATAATGAATATGGTCCAATGAAGGTTAAACTGTCTTTTATCCTGCCACCCAATATCCGCTTGTAATGTAGGTGCGCATTATATTATGTTGATTTTGTATCAAAACCACAATGTATGACACACTCACACATTACACTTTTCAATCCAAACACATTATTGAGATAATATTTACAAATAAACATTTACAAATATATTATTAATATAATATGAACATACATATAAGATAAATTTGATAAATTCACCTAACTTTATACCCGTATACTCCATTTTGATTTTATACTTGATGATACGCTGAAATCAATATATCATTATGTATCCATTTCCAAATCTTGTTAAAACAAAAATTATTCTCATTTTTGTAACTATATGTCTATATCAGATGTACCTGTATCCTTCGAATTGATAATTAGAGCTGCAGCCATCTAAAGCTACGATTTTTTTCACATTAGTTTTTGTCTTTCTAGTTTCTAAAATCAATAAGATATTTTAAATTTAAATATCATCTGCGGTATTTACCTTCGACCTATAATAATACATGAAAAATAAGACTTGTTATTGGCAACCGGAAGTAGTCAAACAAATAATCACATATATAAACTGCGATATTATATTAAATTATTATGAATTTAATAAATACGATTGGCGTATATATTTTCATTAAAACAATAAATAAAAATATTGTCTTTTTAGTCGTCAGCTTAAAGGCATTCTATTATTCTACAAGTTGAGTATCAGGCTATGGACTGTATAACAAATAAATCACACGACAACGACATAACATAATATTATTGTATACATTATATTACTTACACGTATAACATAAGTGTTGATAATAGTTAACTTAAGTGAACAAATGTGTAGCTTGCATATTATAATATAGTGACTATAATAACAAATGATTTATAATATATTACACTAAAGTTATACATCAACAGTTTAGGTGTATATAGAATGCTTCTTTTCGTATTATTAGATATATTGAAACCATACATATTTTAATATGTTCCACCTACAGTGTACATACATTTATTTAATAATAAAAAAATATTGAGTACAATACAACGACGACACATATAGATATTATAAAATTGTAATGAATGGTTATCAACCTGAAACAAAAATTACAATTATTACATTCAGGCATTAAACCGTATTTTAAGAATGAATTTAACTGATAAAAATACAAAATATTATACAAAAAACTCGTGCTCTGCAATAATAATAATAATTAATAATAATTTTATTTAGTGACTATAGCTGCAGGGTGACACGTCGAATCATAGGTTTTTTTACCGTCGCTATATCCTTGTGGAACGAGCAACAAAGCGAATTTGCTTTTTGTAGGAATGCCAACACCGTGGGCTGTGGGTCAATATCAGATTGAGTCAATACAACTACCGAATATCTAATAGAAAAACACGCTTCTATGATTTCGGAGCGACGTTTGGTGGTTAGTATAGATTTTTTTTAGTTATATTACGGAATACATTCTAATATATTTCATATGATAAACAATAATTAAAACCATGTTTAATGTTTATGTACCACTGAAAATCGAAAGGAATCTACTCTATTGCGCCATACGTGGTATAAAGGTCCTACTATAAATGTCAATATTATCATATTTTGGACCAAACCATTTTAATCGTTTTATAATGGGGTGATTAACATAATTAAAATATTTTTATGTAAATATCAATGCATATTATAGTATCATTATATCATATTATTAGATTAATATTTTTAAAAAATAAGAAGCAGCGACCAGTTCGTCGAAAGCGGGAAACGAGCAGCATCCTTGGAATAAAAACCCTCCATGGACGGACACATCGATCATCATTATTGTGTGGAGTACTTGATCACTTCGTTGTTATGTCACTACGCTAAACTATAAAGTGATTACACGATACGATAATGATGATCGTACTTAGGTGTGTCCGTTATTGTTTTATATATTATCATTTATCATTAATCAGCGATGTCGGTCGTACGAAAAGTAATTTTGATTACGTCTGAGCTAGCAGGCAAGGTAAGATAAAGTAACGAATGAACTATATTAAGTGACAAAAAAAAATAACAAATATAATATTATTATAACAATGTTATGCTCTAGAACAACTTTTAATCGATACAGTTGATCGACCAGTCAATCTAACCCGAATTATATAAATCTCTTGCGAGCAGTCACGAGTAACACAATACGATTATATAATGACATTACTGGATCAATATAATGCCATTGGTATTTATTTTGTTGAATTGAAATTTTACCGCGGCCATAGTTTATTGTTGTTACTTGTCTATACGATTATTAAAAGTGAATAACATAGTTACCTGTTCAGTGTGCTATTATATTTCGTTTCGGGCATGTGCAAAGGATTTCCCATCAAATATACCCGAAGGCCCTTCAGATACTTATCGAAATAGTCGTCCCACGACAGCGTGCCCATGTCGAAATCAAATAATATTTTGTCCCTCGGCGACAATTTGTTCATTAAATTTATCACGTTGTGATTGTGGTACCTGACGTGCATCTGTTGATACGAACTCAAATGGTTAGCTGCTGCGTGCACTCGTTTATAAAACTCGTTCAGTCTGAATAAAATAATGTAGGTGTTAGTTCAAGCCTGGACAAGTTTATGAACATTTTTAATTGAGTTAAATTAAGTTGATAGAAGAAAATATACATTTTAAAAAGTTTAAAGTTAATAATATTATCCTAATTTTTGTATAACTCAGTTAAGTTAATTTATAATATGGAAACGTACAACTAACTTATTAACTTTTATTACATTTATACCTATGCAGATATGCAGTATGCTTATTAGATGAGCTTGCAAACCTGTTATTAATGATTCGTTTTTAAATTTTTATTTTCTTGGAGTGTTTGCCAAATAAATATATTATTATTAGGTATTATTAATTATTTAAAAATCAACGAAATTGGATTTGATAAAAAGTAACTCATTACTTATTAAGTACATATCAATAAAAATGAGTTAATTTAATGAAAATTGAATTTTAAAAAGTTAAAATTAACTTAACTGTAACTTTTTAACTCATGTATGCCTAGGCTTGAGTATTATACGGATCGAGACCCAAATGATCGTACACAAATTTTGTGAATTTCAATGTGCAACTACTTGCCTGGGTTCTTTTCCTATAAGCCAAATGAACAGATCCACAACTTTCGCCGGCACAGTGTGTAAGTAAAATGTCATTATCCAATAGATAAATATGCTATTGGTAACATAATAAAACGGCATCCAAAACTGAAAAAGACAATGGTACAATACAGACTGTTGAAATGTGTAGTATTTGAATGAATGGTTATTGACTAGGAATTGATATTTTATATCGGAAACAGTAATTTATAATAATTAAAGTATATTGTCATAATTACAAAGTTTGGCGATGAAACGTTTTTTTCGTTCTTAAAAAACTTTTCTCCCAACTGATTCCAAGAGCAAGGTTTAAAATTAGACGAAGCGTAATTGTAAATCAAAGTGTTGACTGCGTCTTTGGGAACTTCCTCATTGACAACGTCCGTCCTGTCAATTATACGTTTATTGATTTATTTATCTATTTCATATTAATTATGATATTGTTTATTTTAAGTTTCAATCAATAGACCAGCTCTTATTTTACGTTGAACACCGTTAGGAAGTGTATAGTTCCAAATTGAAAGTGTGTAGTACGGAATTGGGAAGTTTGTAGCAATGTATACTGGGTAGAGACTAAGTATAAATAAAAATCAGGCGCAATAAAGTTTATCCGTTCGCAATAAAACAACAATGGTATGAACTATGAAGGTGTTTTCCCTGTAGAAAATCAGAGCAATAATTATAATGATGAATCAAGTCTTGGATCAATAAATGTGTTGATCAAATACCCTAAATAAAATCAAGTAAGTTTGTTATTTGTTTTGTATTTCATATTATAAGACTTAGTATATTTTTTTGATTTTGCAGAAAAAAACTAAGTAACCACCAAACTGAAATGTTACATAAAAAATAAAAGAATTTATAACTAAATACTATCTAGTCAACTTTTTTAAATGATTAATTATAAAATATGGTACAAAAGGGGAGTCGGGGTAAAGCCCCACCACAACGTCAATCTTATAATATCAATGTACAAAAATAATTTGTAGTACTGATAATATTTTTAAAAAAAATAGTGACTAGGTCATGATTGATTTTCAACTCAAATCGAACAGATACGCACACACCTGTTGCCAATTGAATCCCAGCATGCCACCAGCATAAGATTGACCAACATGTCGACGGGTACGATTTCGGCGTTGACGCAGCTGGGCCCGTGAAAAACCCTTACCAGGCCGAGACCGGAACCCAGAGCACAACCCGTCAAGTTGTTCAAATCGTTCGTCCAACCAGCAATGGGTTCGTAAGCAGTGCCCAAGACTGCAGGAAATCAAACAAAAAAGTCTAATAATATTTGAAATCTATATGTGAATTTACAGTTGTTTCTACACTTGGCGTCGCATCGTCATACGTCGTCCACTCGTGCGTGTAGGTATATTATAAATCGTATAATATACACACTGTGTTGGCATATATAATATCAATAATTGTAATAACCCAACAAACACCCTCCATGTAAAAAAACACCAAGTATAAAAAAAACCAGCTCTAAAAGTTGTGATTCCATATTTTAATAGCAAATGGCCTGTGAACAATAGATTACAGATACCGCATTTATGTTAAAAAGGTCTGTTAATAATTATTGAACTTAACTTGGCGATTTTAAGACACTTTTTTAGTAACACACTATTTCGATGACAATGTAGATTGTATTATGTACCTACCCTTTAAACTTTATTATTTTTACATTAGTGACATAAGTCACCATATCAGCCTAAAATACGCATTATGTACTTATAGTGTCACACTGTGGCGTAGCCAAGAGAAGGTTGGGTGTTTAAACCCTGACCACATAGTCTTTTTTCTCTAATAAATGTATTATTTAATTATGAAAATTTTTTAAAAAACTTTGTTTAATTTATTCTTTACCTCCCCCCTTTCTCAATAACATAATACTAGCTACGTCACTGTACTGTCGTCTGTCACGTCGTCATCGTCATAATTCGTCCATTCGTGCGCTTATATAAATCGTATAATATACATATTTCCGCTAACATATACAATACTAAGCGATCCAACGATTATAATAATATATACACGAACACGATGACGCTTTGTACGAAATGTATTTTAATAACAGGCATAGGTACATTAGGTACACCTTTTATTTTATTTTTGTAATAATATTAACGTGTTATTCAATAAACCTGTTATAATAAGAATATTTTTTATAACCGTGCCTATGGTACTTAATTACACCGCAGTCATGAACGGAGACCATGAATAGCTGCATATCACTGTATTTTAAATAATTAGTAGTTTCTAGGTTAGATACTTACTAAATTTTAGCAACGATTACAATTCAAATATTGCAGCTAAAGGAAACTCGATAAAAAGATCGGAAAATGATGAAAAGATATCAAACTATTATGTGTGGTCATTTGTGGACATGATTTATAAGAAAAATTGAGTTCTTAAAATAGATCACACTAATATTATAGATACCGTGCGAGTTCTGAAGTCAGTTATTGGCAACTTGCAGGTATATCATTTTTTTAATTTGTCACTGTGCTTTAGCCAGTATTTTAATATTTATTAGGTACAACCTTCTGATAGCTAATATTACCAGAACTATACCGGTATTTTTCATCCGTTGGATTTCTAAAAAAAATAACCGACGAAATTATTAGCTTCTGGTAATTGCTCATTGAACATTTTCTATAATATACTCTATGATACTGTTAACAAGCATATTATAATTAGGTACATTACTCATAATTTAACATTTCTAACTTACTAATTTAAGGTGAAAAGGTGATGCAGATACTATTATTATATTTTATTTTTATTTCATTTAAATGTTTTAATTGTATGTTGTAGGTACATGACTAGGAATCTACGCACACAAACGAAACATGGGTAAAACTATACATTTTATGTATTTTAATAATTATTTTATATTAGTCATAAGTCATAACTCGTGACCACGTGGCTCGTGACCATGACCTATGTAAAGCCTTATATGGCATACGCTATTATATTAAAAGAAAAACTAGTTTGTAAATATTTTCAGAATTAAACACGTCAAAACATTATAATATTATTATGTTAAACTTACTTTTATTCATTGACTATTACTATATTTTTTCAATAATACAACTTCCATTATAACACACAAGTCATCGACCTGGTTATATAGACATGTTTCATTTGATCTTAAATTAAATTAAAAACATTCAATTTAATTTCAATAATAAATTTCATTTTCTCTCCCGATGACTTGTCTACCTATATTGTTTATTTATTCTGTAACTAAATAGGACGTTTTCTATTCATATCTAAACTCTTTAACACCTATATATATATACAGAGTTAGATTTGGCATAGGTTATTTAACAACTATCCGAAAATTCAAGGACAACCGATAACATGAAATTAATGTATGTAATATTATAGTGAAAAAAATATAAAACTTTACCAAACCCTGGTCGTATGACACACGCGGGTAGCTCTGGCCCGGCCGACTGAATGATCTGCTCTGACAAAGCTTTGGTAAACGTAACCACGTCCGGCCATTCGGACACGAGTCTATAATAGAACAGTTTACATCATATTTTGATATTACGTATAGGCATTGGAAACAGCTTTTGTAACAAATGTTCGTCTTGTCTGTATTATTATTTCTATATGATTAAATATTATTGAGATATTATTTCTCGTATATATTGAGATGTTATTTTTTAATTATTTTTTTGTTTGTTTGTTTTGCACTTACTTTTGATTAGTAAACCTACATGTACTTTTTCATTATTGTGATGCTCCGAACTTTCGAGAGCTTATAAATAAATAAAAACATAAGAACTGTGAATAATCGAGATTACCTCACATAAACTATTAAAAATATTAATATTATTTCGATATGATCTTTTCGGAAAAATTCAAGATACATAGTAAATCTAACGTTCCCTGGTAAGTTAATCGGCAAAACTTTTACTATTAAATAACAATTTTATTATACTTGAAAACACTAAATTTTTTTAATTTCATTATCGAAAGCAGATTTTTATTGTTATACTTTTATAGTTTAGTATTTGATGTCTAATACCTTATCAATATCTAATCTAATTCCGTACCTACCGATTATTGATTAAACTATTTTTATTTTATTTGCCTTTTAAGGATTTAAATATTGTCTATACGAGAAAAAAAGCAATTAAGTTAAATTGATGTACAGTATATACTATTCAAATTTGTATCATGGAATACCACACAGCAACTTGTTTAAACTTAAAAACAGTTAGTTCAGTATTCATCTATAACAATTAACACAATCGAAATATTCATAAAAATATTCTGCTTTATATTGGAAAATTGTAAAACATATTTTGTTTGAGTTTAAAAATTGTAAGTCGATAATTAATCAAAGTCTATAGTGGTTAATTAAATCTCAGAAACGGACTCTTCTTAAAATTTCGTCGTCAAAAGAATCGTATTTCCGGTCATGGGTGTGATTGTGAACTTACCCCGAAGTCATTCGGTTCAGGATGTAATCGGGAAAGGTTTCGGCCATCTGGATGACGGTGGACGTGGGTATCGGGGAGTTGTAAAATTGTTCATACACGTCCAAAACTGAGGGATTGGCGAACACGGACGACAAGTAAACAAAGGCCTGCAGAAAAGGGGTGGAAAACATAAAACAAAAATTAAACAAGCGAAGACGGAAATACAAAATAAGTACACATCATTATTTTAGTACATATTATTATAGTAGGTACGTGAAAATTCGTAGATAAAAAATGATAAAAGGTTTTATTTTGGAATGGAAATGTAGTAGACGTTTGAATTGTTAGCGTATGGTTTTTGATATTTTTCGTGCTTTCACTTGAGAAATGACCCTCCCCTTGCATTTAACTCAACTTCGGGGGAAACTATGACAGTAATTATTGGTGTGATTCCCTGGCAATCAATGCACTGTAGAGGAAAGTGTTATTTCTCCGGAAGTTAAACTGTTATTTTCTGGTGGATAAGAAGATTTAATTTGGGAACGTAGTAGTACTACTGACAAGAAACTGAATAACTGAAAACGAAATAATAGCAATCAAAATTGTATGATAGGCAAGATTTGAATATTTCAAGATATTGACGACACGAAATTAGAATATGCAATTTGTACAATGTAAAATACTTAAAAACCATCTACTCTCCGCGACCTTTAACCCCTCTCACGACCTAACCTTGAGATTTTTAAAACTCTTCGTCAGAACAACCAAGTCTCTGGTAGCCCGAACGTTGGTAAAGACAGCCGTTTGCAACATGCAGTAGAGGTGATTTTCGGCCGTAGTCGCCGCCGCAAGGTGTATGACAGCATTTATTTTGGGCGCGATCCTGTTCAAGACAGCCTCGTCCACGCCAATGTTCGGCTGAAAACAGTCACCCCTCACCACTTGCACTTGGCTACGATATGTTGGATTTTCAATTTTCATGCGATCGAAAAACTATAAACGGAAAACAAATTAAAACACCCAGATTGGAACACAGAGACGGAAGTCTATGTGGACTGAAAATTAAATAAAACGTATTCTAATTTATTCAATAATTATAATATAAGGTTTTTATTTTTTATAACTAAAATGATAATGTTTTTTTATTACTAATAATCAGTTCTTACGATATTATACATTGCCACTAAATTATTCTTTTATACCATAGGTATATCAGAACATTTAAAACAAACAAAAATTATGGCATTAATAAAGGCAAGAAAGCTGGTGAGTGGGTGTCACTAAATGATAATAACATTAACATATGATGTACATTTCAAGTATCTAGCAGTAGTTATTCGTATTTAAATTACTATAAAATAAGAAAATCGCTATACGAGAAATTGAGTGGATATCCAATGTTGTAAAAATTAAAACTTCAAAGGATCATCAAAATTTGATTTGACTTCCCTGAAGAATTTTTTTTTTTTGATAAAGGTAGACAAACTTATGAGGAATCGTGTGTTAAGTTATACGATCTTTGATTAAAAAAAGTACATTTCTTGTTGATTTACGCTCATTTTGTTTTTTAATTTCGACTAACAAGAACTTATGAGGAACCTTGTATTATATTTTCAAGTTTTTTGACCAAGCTAATATTTTTTTATCGACATTAGTTTGAAAAAAAACGAATAATAATCGAAAATTTCATATGGCTCTAATTAGTTTAACATGAGTCAAAATATTTTTTTAATTCTATAGTGTATAGAAAATGGTAACACAAACATTCATTGAAAAAATCATGTAACTATGAATTACACTAAAAACCAAAATCGATTTTTTTGAAATCTGGTTTTGCTTGAGTGCCGTTTTTCCTGACGTTTTTCAAAACAATCAGGAGTTTTAAATTTTGACTTCCCGAATATACCAACTTGATTCACTTTCCTACCAGAAAAGTTGCTGTTGAAAAAAATCGAAGCACTTTTACTGCACCAAACCACGAAGACAGACAAAAAATAAATAAATAAACACAAATCATTGTAAAATCAATGCATTCATCACTCAGCTCAGAATCTATAAAATTTAGATTGTAAATAGCTAGTATTTAATATTATATAATCTTTTTTTAAAAATGTTTTATTCATCATTCTACATTGTGTCTACCAGGTACAGATTATATTGCATATAATCAAGTGTAAAAAACCTTAAAGTTATTAATTTTTTACTCATATACGAGATACGCCTTTTAATAATATATAATTAATGGTTATATATACAGTAATGATAGGAATACATTAATAGATAAACTATTTTAACAAAGCAAAATCAGATTTGACTAGAGGAATTGGTGGAAACTAGTTTCGACTAGTTAAATCTGCCTTGCAGACTCTATAGAACTCGTTTTGGCGGATTTCAGGGTTTTAACTTTAGCATATAAATATATATTATATAATACAAACAGCGAATATCTTATAAATTAAAATATCATATGAAATAATAATATCGCATAGTGTAATGATAACATAATTAGTTGATAAGAGTGCGTTAGATGTTAGTTTCATAATACAGTTGTATGTCACCTATTGTCACTACTTAGTAGACATACATTATAATAAATCATGTGAACTAATAAATAATGTGTTGTTGAATAAATAATTAAATAATTAACTAACAAATAAATCTACACATTATAGCTCTTAATCGCTATCGTTGGTATTAATAATGAGAAGAACAAACATAAATTACTAAACTTTCAAAACTTCCAAGACTTACTAAATACAACAAAAACTAAAAAAACTAAACGAGAGTCATCCTAACTTAATTGATTATTAACAAAAAACATAGCTCTTCTTAGAGAGCCATCTTCTAAATAATGTCTTATCACTGGAGATATCTAAGTAAGGGTAAGTCAGTGGCGTTCTTAGCTTTTTTGAAAGAGGGTGGGATATGACTTTTTGACTATTCTCAGACCACGTTATGTAGTATACATTCATTGTTTTATCATATATTGTATGTGAAAATAATAAACCAATAGGGGGAGGGAGGAATAGTCACCCTCGATGCTGAACAATATTTTGGTTAAAATAATGGTTATAATATTTTATGTTAATTTATTTTTAAAACAGTTGAAAGGTCCTTGTAGTAAATCGATGGCCTTTACATTTTTATTCGGTAAAAATGTGAGTATACTATTAAGAGTGATTTAATACGGCTCGGGATACTTGTGCATACTATATTGTAACCTACATACACCATATTATATTTATTATATTATACACATATGAGTGCTTACTTTCTAGTAAATATTCAATTTCTCAAAAAACATTTATTTTTTTTTAATAATTTTGAATCGTTACAGAACAACATTTTTGAGAAAAATAACTATAAACGTATCTATTTTATTTTTTTATAACTATCATTTTCAGTTTTTTACTATTTTTAATGAAAAAATACATTTTAATTTTGTTTTCAGAAGAACAATATTTGTTTGAGAATTTAAATACGTACAGTGTGATTTTTGAAGAGAAGTTTTATGTGTCGACAAGCAGGTAGTTAAATGATAAAGGGATTACCATAAAATGTTGTTCTCTCCTCAACTCTAAAAATACCTACGTATACTGTCAATCGAAAAACACATTTTTCTTAAATATTCTTTGTCTAAGGACTTTGAGTTATCTAAAAAAATATTAGAAGAACATTAAAACTTTTTGAGAAAATGAGTGTTTTCAACAATCACTAATTTATGTCTATACGTGTACAGTGTATACTGCAAGGACATAAGTCGAACATCAGATTTCATCGCATTCAAATCACATTAGAAACGTAAATCGTTAATGACTTGGTAATAAAATATAAATTAATTTCTGGACACAATTTGATACTTCTGCTAACGTGTCTCATGTAACGGCAGCACTCTAGATGAAAGAAAAACTATTTCAACATTTTATGAGGACAATTATTGTGAGTAGATCTAATTTATTTTTACGTCGTTGATATATTTTTTAATAGTTTGTGTAATTTTTTTTTGTTACATATTAATTATAGATCAAATAATTTTACTTAATCATTGTAAACAAATTAAAATGAAATACCGTCATTAATATACATTTAAGTTGTAACTACACTATATTGTGTGTTTTTGAATATTTTATAAAAATGTGGCACTTCGTTGGACTGATGTGAACTTGCACCATAATATGGAAATAAACATGTACTAGCTATATTATAATAAAATGCAAATTTCTTATATAGTATATTATTGTCTGATACGAATAGTTTATTTTTATAATTGTACTTCAGCGAGTGTATTGCAAGTTTTTATTGCATGTAGGTACAGTAGAAATCATTTATAATGACACCGGTTGTAGTTTTATAATTAAGTTTTAAATTTTATTTTATCATTTTGGTTATAATAAAAATCGATATTATGACTAATTTTTGAATGCCATTATAAACGGTTTCTACTGTATTTCGATCCAGGGATGTCACCCAAAAAATGCACAAGAATTTTTCCCGAAACTGGCGAAACTAAATGATTAAAATATGAATTTCAAAAATCTCTTAATATTATCGTATTTAATTTTGTTCAATAATTTCATGACGGCCACTGATTAAAAATTCAAACTTTAATATTTATTATTATTGGGTACTTTGAATAATTATATGTGGCGTAAATTATTTGTTGCAAAATATTTTAGGGCTTGTGAACTCAAATATATTGAGGATAAAATGTCATTTTATTGAAGTTTATATTTCACGTAAGGTTCTATAAAAAAAAATATATTTATTGGTAACTATTCGCTCCCGGCAATAACAAATAGTTTATAATTTATTTGTTTTACACTCATTTTAGTCGAAAGGTGACCTTTTTCTACGATTTCCTGTTCGAAAGCAGCGTTCTGTACTGCTCTGGAGCGTATTGTCAGAATATTCATATGCAGATTAAGGTACATGAACGTGAATAAAATAGTAGAGCCACCTAAAAATATACATATCTCATACCTAGGTGCTTATCCTATTAATATTCATCTAATTGATGAATATGGAATTTTAAACAGGTCATTATTATTTAAAAAAAACCGTATAGTGTAGATGATGTTTACAGTCTACGCCAATGTATATACATTATAATATTATGTAATTTGGTGGGAAACCGTGCCATACATTTTCTTGACCTTTCATATGGTTCGATGGTGTGACTGTTTTCTATTCGATGTCGATTTTTAAAGTTATACATAATAATATACAGTAACTATCTATAAATTATGTCCACACCGCGATCGTCTGCAGTTTTAATTGTGTTAATGGAGGATTTGCTGTTTAAAAAAACTAATTTTTTTTAGTTTCCTAACAACATTGTAACATTAATGAACATAACATATTAATATATTATGAATAGGTACAAATTGTACGAACCACTATAATTTATTGTTGTTTTTACACAAAAACTAAGTCTTTGTCTAACCTACATTGACATTTTTGTTTGACCTACATTGATAAATAAAAAAGATAGTAGGTATACTAGCATTAATGATATTATAATATTATCACATTAATAATGAATGCATAAATAATGTTGGTTCTGATGTATTAATTTGAATAAATATTTATAAGTTATACATCAACGATGATACGAATACAAATAATGATTATTCATTTTTGCATATACACAAAAAAATAAAATTTCAAACGAGATATTAATAAACTAATTTACTAGATTGCGAATCAGTTTCTACTATCAAACTTAAACGTAGCACAAGGGAGGATTGTTGGTTTTTTCGAGGGCTATGTCATTTCAAAACAATCTTTTTGGGACAGCGAAGTGATCAAAAACTTTTGTATAGATTGGGAATGGAAAACATATTGTACCTACTCCAAGAGGTAACTTTTTTAATGAAATATAAATTATATAATAGCTAAAAAGCTTTCATTTTTTTTTTATATTTCTACGGCAATGTTAATTGTTCATTATTAAACCATACTTGTTAGAGAGATATTTGATAATTTATATTTTTCAGTCGCAGTATCCTGAATTTTTTTTAAATTTATTTTACTATAAAATAGGCCAATAGTATATTTAAAAGTTATATAAAATTAACTATAAATCAATCATAGGTTAACCTAACCAATTTTAAGCAAAAAATTAATAGAGCTCCTAATAGTACTATAATAATTTAAAATACAATTCATAATATATTTTCAAGAGTGCATATATCTCATAATTAACAAATAATATTAACTATCATTATTTAGGTATCAAAACAATATTGTTTTGTCATTGTGCCTAAAGTGCTACGAATGCAATTTTGAAATTAAAGATTTCCCTTTGGAAAAATAGATGAATCTGTTAAAGTAATACAAATATGAATGAAACAAATCAAGCATTCAAAAAATATATTCTTATAGTTAAATCGTTTTAAAAATTAGTTTTCATTTAAATCACATGCTCATATTATCCATTAAGCAAACAATTATAATCAATTAATTACCGGACTAACAAACATTTCTTTGACCCTTTCATTCGGATTTCGACCATTCAGTGGTCTCACGACCAAATAAATTGTATTCAAATCACGACATGATCTGAAGAATAAATTCAATACTAATATTGGTTAACAACAAATATTATATTTTTAACATGTCTTACCTTAAAAGTTTTTCAATTAAGACTTTCCCGACAAAACCCGTTCCGCCAGTAATGAGAATACAAGAACCACGAAAACATTTTTGAATTTGGCTCTCAGGAGATTCTTGGAGATCGTTTATAAAATCTTGTATGAAAATATCACCGCCTTCCATTGCAATACAGATAGGTATCTAATCAAAAAACCTCAGTTCATATCTAAATATGTGTTACTGTAAACAATAATTATGAGCAGTCTGTACATAATAACTCACAATAACTCGATGTATGCTAATATTACAACTACCTACCTACTGACTATAATTATCATTTCGTACAACACATCAATATTTCCACCGCCTCATTATATACTGCATATATAGGTTTAAATGTATAACGGATAATATTAATGTTTAATTAAAAACTATAAGGCCAACAATATTATACAGCGTGTTGATATTATCTACTACTATTTAGGCCTGACTGTTATGACGATTACCTATACATCGCAATAATATCGTATGATATTTAACATCGTGAACAATTAATTAGGTACTGCGCCGGTATAAAACTATAGCCACAAAACTATGGCAAAGGGCGGAATGATCTCTTGAGTATATATCAAAGATCAATGATCATCAGCTATTGCGAGATCGACGTTTTACATTTACATAAAATAAAAGGTAGGTACTTACCTATATATGCCATATAGGTTCCCGACCTTCTTAGTTTTACTGACCACCAATTATGTAAAAAAACCTTTATGGACGGTTTACTTAAAAGGTATAAAATATAAACACCTATAAGTACTCGTATGACGAATAAATAAGGAGGGCTATTAATTATTGTTGATTAAAAATCAGCTAATCTAAAAAGAAATAAAGACGTGTATAAAATCATATAAAAATCTCGATGCTGGTGCCAATTATTTACCGACCCTTTGCTTAGACTCCCGACCAGCATCCTCTGCCCCGGCCCGCGGCCCCTAGATTGGAAACCACTACTATACTCTATGTAGCTACATATTTAGTTTAATTTTAACACAAGCTATATGTTAATATGTGTATAGGTACCTACTGTACTAACCTACTTACTGGCTACAACAACTTCTTGGGAAAACCCCAAAAGCATAAATACAATATAATATTGTATTAAAATTAAAAATTAAATATACGACACCTATATCATGTGAAATAACAATTGTTCAAGTGAAACAGTCAACAATGAATGATGACATTATTATTATTATTCACTATGCCATCGGCCATCTATATAGATGCCTATCATAATTCATAATATTATATTCGAATACAACTTACTGTTAAGGAATAAAGAGAAGAGATGACTTGCCAAAATCACAATGTGTCAATGTGCAATAATTCATAATGTCTATACAGCTTAGGCGTGAAGGAAGTCGTAAAATGTGATGTGGCTCTTACCTAATCCTTTTTTTAAACTCTAGTCAGAAAAACTGATGAAGAACCTTGTGTAGAATTGTCAAGTCTCTTCAAGACTTAAAATTAAAAATCATACGAATTTGGTAAAAATATAAACTTCAAACGCTTATAAAAATAATATTGCGCCTATATACTTTCGATATTTGTTTATTTCTATATATAAGACGAAAGACTCATGAAGACTTTACAATCTTCAATTTTTTTGAATTACTAACAAACTTTTCAAATGTCTATAAATAACACAACAAATAAAAACATATTGAAAATTAAATCATATTCAGAAAATGTTGGTATAAATATTTTATGAAAATTTGAAGTGTCTACAGTTATTCATTTTTTAATTACTTCATACAAATAAAATCAATTTGCTCAAAAACTAATATGTTGAGCAATTAATAACTAGAGTATTTCGTCAAATTTTCCCGATTTTTTTGATGAGGACTGGTAGTTTATTTACTTTTTACTTTTAAGTACCAACGAGATGCAATTTTCTACTAACCACCCTCATCCGGGAGTATTAAAGTTTAAAGTTTAAAGTTTAAACTGATTGAAAAAAACAAAAAACCACATAATTGTGAAACCAATGATTTAATTAATACATTTTCTATACAATATATGTTCGACCCCTCCTAAATCTAAAATAGCTAAATATAGGTATTTCACCTGGACTGGAGAAGCGCATGGAAAAAATGTCCGACCATAAAATATATAAAGAGTAACAATTCCGAATACATTTTATTTCAGAAAAATAAGTTTTGGCTTATTAATAGTTATAAATAATGAAAGATATGATGTGAAATGATTAAAAATTAAAAATATTGAAAGATAATTTGTTATTAATAAGTAATAACATATAATTATAATGTATGCATCTATTCAAAACCATTAAAAAATTGTTTTTTCTCAATTTCGAAATCACTATACTTTCATTTAGTTGCGAATAAGGATTAAATAATTAGGATTGAACAACGACTGGGTTTCTTATTTTTATACTTTATTGTGCCATACATTTCGCATAATATTACCTGGCTACATAATATTGAGTATTTCATTTTAAATATTTTTTTATATTTTATTTTAACTTACCAATAATAAAGAATTATTTTTCTTTCTCTATTTCCTTAACTTCTAATACACTTTGTCTTGCTATCTACCTTTCCTTCTATTAGGTGGTTATACTGCAGGTATTATAACAACAAATTAAATCTGATTTTTTTCCCGCGATTCCTTGCGCCTGCGATGGATTCGGACGACAATAATATAAATCATTTCCACATTAGTAAAAATCTTTCCCGTTCTAAATTTAGTCACAATCAACAATTTTCATCGATCATCCCTTTTGCCGTTTGGATGCTATCTGTGTCCGTGTAGACAGTGCATTCCACCGTGTTTCAATAAATTGTGTAATTGTGTATGTCGGTCTATGGGTGGAAGTGGTAGAAAAAACCCAGGACTTAATCTTTCTAGACTAAATTTGCAGGTGATATAATTACACAGCATTGTACAAAATTGTATAAAGAACCGGTTATAACGTGTGTTTACCCATTCATATTTATAATATACGCCGCACACACGATATAATATATATTTATGGTCATAGAGGTATAAATCGCGGAGAGAGGGTGAATGGCGGTCATCTATAAGGGAAATCTCTAATAACAACTTACTAACCATAACTCCGAAACTTAAGTCAATCCTCTATATTGATTTATATACTTATTACTTATGGGCTACAACATATTTGTGTTTGAGATTTCTTAAAGTATTTTTTATATTTTATTATAATTTTTTTTTTAAACTGCAAATGACTGGTAGTTATTACAAATAAAATATTTTTGAATTAATAAGACATTTTATTTCAGAAATAACAAAAGGAAAAAAATACACCTTTAAACTTTTAATTTTTTTTTAACTGTCAATACCGGGCACCTATGTACAACTGAAAGTGATCTTTATTGCCCCATCAATTTTGACAGTTACTGGCCGAATATAATAAAAATGATTTTTAATTATATTGTATCACAATAAATAAATAATAAATCAAGCGTTTTATAGCTACAAGCACCTTAAACTAGATACATAACACATAGCATATAATAGATTAATAATTAACTTAATAAGATGAAATAAACACTTGCCATAATTTCTTTTCGAAGGGCAAAATGTAACAACGCCATCTTCGAAAAAAAGGACAACAAACAATTCTGTTATCATTTGTTAACATGATATGGCGTTAAAATGTAGAGTTTAATTTTAATACAATAAGAAATTGGCTGAATGATAAAACAGGCGCATGTAAACTCCGCCACAAGTATTAATTTTTAGTGTAAACTTCGGCAATGAAGAAAATCAAGTCGTCACAGTTTAAAATTTATATATAGGACAGGTGTTGTGTACATTATTATATTATCCCAACAAATATACAAAAATTAATAAGATAATAAATAATAATAATAATATTAATAATTATTAATTAATAATTGTCAGAACAAATCATCCAAATTGTGATGTGTATTATCATAATAAATAATTTTAATAATCATAAAATATGTACCCAGCAACCTAGGTATGTTATGTTAAAATATGTTGAACTGTGATCTTAAATGATACAATTTATAGATATTCTGACTTCTCAGTCTGATTTAAATTCAATATCATAAATTCATAACTATTTATAACGTTCTCTAACACCATTATTTTGGATTTTTGAGCTTCTTTAGTTGAGATATATTATTAAGTTTTAGGTACATAAGCACTGGCGGAGTTTCCATATATCCATTACAGGTAAGAAAATAAAAATGTCGAAGTTTACATTAGACCTTTTTATTACCTTTTTATCTAACTGGTATTCTGCCGGAGTTAACAATCGCCTGATAAAACGGATTTTTATCAATCTTAGTCTTTGAGATTATCTGTGTAACCGGTATATGCCGGTATTCACCCTTTCACCCCTACCAACTTATATTATAATATGACATAATCGGTAAATCACGATTGACCATCTAGTGATAATTATTGTTGTATAAATAGTGTATAACGGCATATAGATATAGATATGCTACAATTACTTTATTATTATTGAGACTCGTACTTAAGCGGTAAGTAGGTAACCTACCTATATGTCTATATGTACCACCTCCAACCCGCGATTTATACTATTATTACCATAAACGAGTTCGTTACACACGACTGCATAATAATATCTGTATTGTATTCGTGAAAAAAAAATCAAATCAAGGGATTTCTCCCGTGGTATACCCATAGACTATAGAGTATAATATGATGATCGCGATGTATATCGGTAACAAACGAGTCCAGAAAAACGAGTATAGAAAAAACCCGTCGATGTAGCAAACCACTTCCCTCGCCCCGGCTAACTGTTGCAAATATTTATCTGCAGCGACATTCCTAGCATGCAGTTCTCGTAAATCCTACAGGTTGTTATGGCGGGCGATAAATAATATTCCGTATAATTATTAATTATTATGTTCATGTGACGCGATGGGAGCTAAGAATTACTTGAATATTGCTTTGAGAGGACGTATCAGTAATTTCCCCAAATGACGTTAAGCGTATAATAACACCACGTCACCGCCGAACGCTATGATCTCTAGAATAATTTAACAGAAAGCGCGACACGACTATGTTATATACAACATAATATGATTATTATAAATTATAATATTGTTATTAATTTATTATGATAATTATTTTGCGCTTTTATTCTGATTGCCCAATGCATTATGTTATTACTGCAGTGACGTAGGCAGTTGCAATTTCTTGTTGTTGTTGTCGTTATGTGATTTTTACGCAAATACTACTTCTTTTGTTCATCTGTACGACTGTACTATAATATTGGCTCAAAATTGTATCCTCTACAATTATTATCTGCCAAACAAACAAAACACTAAATCTCGAGAAAATATGTGTTAAAAAAAATTGTTACTACCTATTCAAGTTACATACAAAATAAAAAATACATTCCAAATTTTTTTTTTTTAAACGTAGGGATAACCAGTAAAAGGAAAAAGTCTAGTAAAAAAGACAAGGGTAAAAAGCGTCAAAATTTTAAATTTAAAGGTATATTGCAAGGACAACGTATTGTTATTAATTTACATTTTAGAGAGAAGGGCACTATATCAAATTTTGATTATTTAAATTGTATCGTTTCATGTTTCCATAATTCAATAATCATTTACACTATTTGAAAAAATGATGTTCCATTGGCAATAACAGCATCGTTGTCGGTATTATTATTGTGAGATCAATCGTCATCGAGAAAATGAACAATTGGCAATTGTATAATTATTTCATATTTGTAACGCAAGTCGCAATCTATATGTATATATAGGTGACAAAATTGTCAGCAGAGTACCTTATCGAATAATACTATTTTTATTTTACATAAATGTCATATTATAATTTACATACGAAATTAAAATTAAAACTATATATTTATTTTTATTGCAAATTATAAAAGTCATAATTTACATATGAAATTAAAATAATTTTTAATTATTATTTCATATAAAATATAAATGTAATTTTATTCATATAGGTAATATTTTATAATTTACATTTTTATAACTTACCATGGTTATATAAATATATTATCCTTTTACGATGTCCTATTTTTTTCATTTGGTGGAAAATAAAAAGGTACAATTTTGGCGGAAGCTAACCGTGCGAGTACGTGCCATAATTAAGGCTTAAGCAGTGTAACTGTGTAAGTGTAGGTTTAACAAACTATTGTCAATATAATATTATCCATATTATGTAAACTTTAAAAAAGATTAGCTTACACGGTTCCACGTCTTGGTCCATGTTGGTTAATTGGCTTTTTAAAAATTTGTCAAATTAAAAAAAAATAATTGTAATTTTACACATTAAGTCCAAGTATTGTTAAGTACTTAACCAGTGATATTTCTTGAAGTAGGAACTAGGAAGTAGTACTTATCAAAATAATACATATACGTCATGTACAATTGCAGACCAGATTATAGCTTAACTTTTCAAATAGATCATCATCGTGTCCATCTTTGATACGTCTGATTTCTATTTGCAGTTTCATATTGACTCATACTCTACCTAACAGGAGTTATTATGGTCGCACCACCCAATACCCATAGGGCATAGACTGCATGAAAAATGAAAATAGTCTGGGGTCACACCACACGTCCACACGTCATTAAAATAGAAAATAATTTAAAATCCATATCGTGCTGAAATTTATTCACAGGTGCTTCCCATGATTGTCGTTTGAAGTTGGTCACAATGCTATTTATCTTATTGCCCACGTTGTTTTCTTATCAACAATAATATTTACATTTTAGTATTTTACAATAATCTTTTGAAGTTGAAATACCTAGTTGATAGTTGATTTTAAGTTGATACATTTTTATTTGTTATTAAAAAAAAACTGCATCAGCTATCCTGGTTATTCGACGATATTTATTTTCATTTATATTATTATTTATTATTTATTTATCGTTTGAAATAAAAAAATTCTATTTACTATTTATTTCATAATTCTTTTCAAAACGAATGATTTTTGTAATCTAAGTATGAGGGTCATCGAATTTTTCAGTGGTATTGGTGGAATGCATTTCGCCCTGAAAGGTATAACAAGAGTTGTACTTAAAACATTACATGAGAATGTAGTTGTAAATGTCAAATTTTTTCAGAATGTAACTTGGAAAATTTTGAAGTTGTCCTTGCTGTAGATATAAATACAGTAGCAAATGCAGTATACAGACATTTTTTTCCATCGACTAACCTCAGAGATTTGAACATTCTTTCACTTAGCTCAGAACAGTTTGATGCATACCATCCAGACATATTATTGATGAGTCCACCTTGTCAACCTTTCACGAGGTAAGCTTTAAATTTATTATTGTTAATACACTCTCATACAGTTTATTTATCATATTTTAATTTAATTTATAGAAATGGCCTTGTCAAGGATATTAATGATGAAAGGACAAAGCCACTGCTGCACATTATTGAAAATATAATCCCGAAATCAGAATCACTTAAATATATTTTAGTGGAAAATGTTAAAGGATTTGAAAGTTCTTTGGCTAGAGACAAATTAGTTACCGCATTGAGTCGGTCAGGTTTTACATTTAAAGAATTTCTACTTAGTCCCGTACATTTTGGCATTTGCAATTCAAGATTGAGGTATTATTTATTAGCCAAAAAGAAACCATTAGATTTTGCAATATCCTTACAAAATGATATCGTAAGTTACTCAGGAATCATTCTAACTAAATATATATTATTATGTAGCAAAATTGCCTATCTTGTGCTAATAATTGTGATTTGTGTCCATCTGACTTTTCTCAAAGGAAATTAATTTACTGATCTTGAGTATTTTGTCATCTAAAATCAAAAATATCATCATAAGCCATACTAATGTAAGCTGAATACCCACATTTAAGACCAAATCCCTAACTGAATGTCAACATTTAAATTTTGCATTATTCTCAGTTTTTTCTGCATCACTTACAATTTTTAAGCACTTTTTATTTTTTTATTTTTCACACTAATATTGAAATTTATGTTAACCTGTTAATTATTATAGTTGAATTGTTACAAGTTAATATTCATTAATTTGTTGTAGATGACCAGTTAGGTTAGGTTAGGACAATGTATACAAATTATTATTATAAATGATCAGCTGGTACAATCACAAACATGTTCTTCTTTTTTTAGTATTAACAAATATATTTCTGTAAGATTTCTTCATCCTCACAAATGTTTTTAAATATTTCGCATTACATTAAGTATTGCCATGTACCTATATTGCAACAAAAAATCTACAGTTAAATATTTTTACCCGAGATCTAGACAAAATTATTAACTATAGTTGAATTAAAAAATTTAAATTAAGTATATTCACTAATAATTCCCATTTGGATCAACAAAATAATATGTTGAATATAAAATTTAAATTCATGCTAAAATATTTTACATAATTTTGATTTTAATGACTATGAAAATATTTAATATATCAGACTTTATCATTTTTTAAATAGATAACTGAAAATAATTGGGACGACAAATTGTGCGACCGCGTTCAACAAGTTTCAGATGTATTGAGCGAATCTGACACAGAATTAGAAGAATATTTTGTTAATGACAAACAACTATTGAAAGGCGGCAAAGCCTTGGACATTGTTACCAAACACAGTAAAAGATCATGTTGTTTCACTCGTTCATACAGTTCATACTTATGCGGCACTGGTTCTGTGTATTCCAGTTTGTGCGAAGAAAATATCAAAGAAATTATTAATGACAATAACAATAATTTAGAAGTGCTGAAAAGCTTAAAATTAAGATTTTTTACACCAGCAGAAGTTGCAAAGTTTATGTGTTTTCCTGTATCAGATTTTCCGGTCAGCAAAAAAAAAGCATACCAACTTCTAGGCAACAGTATAAATGTTTATGTTGTATCTCGATTATTATGTTTATTATTGCCTTAAAGCCTTTAACTATATTAATATGATGTACATAATTCTATTTATATATGTTGAATGTAAACTACAATACATTTTTCAAATATTTGTTGTGAATAAAGTAAGTTTTGGAACCCAATACTGTATTTCTTACTATATAATAACTATTTGAATATTCTTAAGAAGACCCTACACCCACATGTATTGTCTCTGTCTTACTAATGTACAACATAGTAAAAACTGTTTTGCGCAGGATAGAACCACTCAGAATATAGTGACAGTTAAGACTCCAAATTAACATAAAATATATTTAAGAACATTATCTGTGAAATATCATTTTTTTAGTTTTTTTATATCACTTACACAAAAAAAGTTCTTTTTGTTTCAAAATTCGTTATTTTTGTGTTTTTCAAACTTGAATAACTTTTTTTTGTAGTTCCGATATCGAAAAAATTAAAAATTATATTTCAAAGCCAGTTACCTTTTTTATGTGGTAAAAATTTTGTTTCATAGTTATGACTGTAGCCTCCTTAGTTCTTTCTCAAGTAAAATAGTTTTTGCTATGTATTACACATGTGGATCCTCTTAAGATAAACCTAGGTATAATTTAATTGCCATACAAACACGAGTACACAATATAAAATGGATAAACAAAAGTTTAATATATAATGTACATATATAAATAATGATACATGATAATTTTTATAAATTTTATCATCTGTGAAAATGGCTAAAATTAATGAAGTGAATATTATTAATTGAGTATTTATTGTTACAAAAAAAAAAAGAAAACTTTAAAATAATGTAAACAACATTTTTTAGGTATATATTTCAGATGGATGTCTGTATATCATGATAATTAAAGAAACTATTAAAACTGAAAGCATATATTATAGTAGCATATTGAAAATGGCTGCCTAATATAATAATTGAACATAATAGTAATTTAATTCTTACATTACATATCAGTCCATAATATAAATTTCTTTATTTTCCGAGTGCTTTTTGCATATCGGCAGATTTTTGAATCTTGGCCATCTCTTTTTCTATAAAAAAAAATAATAATATTATTAAATGCATAATAGGTAATTATTATAAAAACAAAAGTAGTTAAATATATTTTTATACTCTGTTGAGTGAGAGAAAATGTCAATTCTGCGAATTTCCCTGCAGCACGCTACCATCAAAACCAGTTCACCTACGATAGTGTGCTCAAGAAGAACTGATTTTTTACGGTTAGCAGCGTGTTCTCTCACTGATCTGAGTATGGGTAAATATCAATAATGACTTATTTAATGAGAATTCATAATAATAATACCTAAAGACTAACAAAAACCAACCTTTTTTCTCGTCTTCTCTCTTTTTCGCAGCTTCTGCACGTTGTTGTTTAATGATTGCTAATCTAGCTAAATCTGCTCTTGCTTCATCTGTCTTACCTTCAGCTTGCAGCTTTTGATAATGCAGTTTTTTCCGTTGTCTTTCAACTTCTTCTCTGTGGACAATATCGATCATGTATAATGTAAAATTTAATCAAAAACAATAAAAATAAACTTAATCAACCTTTCACGTCTAGATAATTGGGCTGGTTCTGCAGTGTCTAAGGTTTCGTTAAGCGTAGCTAATTTCTTTGCTTTTAACTGTCTCCTATTGGGATTTTCAATTTGTATCAGACCCGCAACACCTTTTTTATTCTGGGCAAAAACAAAAAATTAAAATTTTCATAGCCCCACCATAAATATTATAACAACAAATTATAATTACATCGTCCGATTCTTCTTCAGATTCGCTTTCACTTTCCGTTTCGTCCTCACTATTGCTCTTGTCACCTTTGGTCACGGGTTTTTCTTCTTCCTCACTCGACGATTCGTCATCGCCTCTGTTATTTTTTTTCCACCTTCTTTCCTGTTCTTCGCGTTTTCTCTGTTCTTCTAGTTCTTCGGGATTTGTAAACCTGCGACTCCTTCCTTTGTGGTTGGTCCATTTTCCTGTGGACGCCAAAAATCAAAACCGATCAATCGTAAATTAATTATTTAAAAAAAAAAAACGCATTGTCTCAAGATCGACTCGGAACAAAAGAATCTCGACGGGGACGTTCGTCCGAAGAAACTATCGCGGTTGACGTACCTCTTGGCATTTTGGAAACTTAAGGCTTTCGTTCGGCGACAAAGAAATCAGTAACGATCTAGTAAAGTTTATCGAACACAAAATACACAACTAGGCTGCGGGCAGTAGGCACGATCTATTTTCGAATTTTGGATTTCAAAATCGTTCTGAGGGACGAGACGACACTGTTTGTATCAAATATTATTTATCAAAACATTGACGTCGATGATAAAATTCACTGTTCTACGGCGCTGTATTATATACTTATTATATATATATATATATTTATATTATATTATTGCATCAGGCTCGCCGCCGCCGTCTTGGAAAAACGTTCGTGGCAAAGAGGTTGTATAAGCACGAAAGTGGCGCGATACTGCGATACCGTTGCCACGGCATCCGCGTGTTTGGCGCACTTTGCCAACACGAACCACAAACGATTTTTATTTTTATTTGATTTACATTATACTATAAGTACTAAAAATTATTATTTCGTGTTTGTGGCCCGCGTTATAGTATTGAATAATATTTTCAACCGTCAAAGATTATAGTGCAACCGTTCACGTTATTAACAAAAAAAAAAAAAATATTATCACCAGCCGAATCTCACGTTGTCTGCCAAACAGGCACGTAAATCTGTTATATCGCGCGTGTGCGACGAGTAGACGGCGTCGACGACTACAAGAAAAATATTCAAAAAACTCGAGTTTCATCATAATTATTTTTATGTAATATTTTGTACGACTATACCTACTGTAATATAGGTAATAATTTTGTAGCGTTGGACGTGTTGGAGTACCGATTTTCCGTAGCATTTTGATTTTCAAATATTTGCACGATATTATAAATTGCTAATAACGGTGGCGCAACTAGAAAACAATTTTTGGGGGGCGGGGGTGTTACATTGTTTCAATATATATAAACATAAGGAATAACATGCTCGCAGCGAAAAAACAAGATTGGGGGAGGGGTATAACACCCCCCCCCTCCCCCCACCGCCACCACCACTGTTGCGCCACTGGCAAATAATGTATGCATTCATATAGGTAAAAATAGTCAGTGCCGTGGTAACTTTCATTGGAGCCCCTATAAATACATTATTTAAACATTTGCACCCTTAAAAATGTTACAACTTTTAACACCCTAGAGCACTTTCCCCAATTCCGGGGAGGGGGGCTTAGCACGACTGTGATTATAATAATAATTCAATAATAATAGAATAATACACGTCTGTATAGCACATTTTAAAATTGTAGTTTATTTAGTATACTAGCTGTCCACTGTAACTATTTCCCGTACGCTAAACATTGTTTTTTTTTAAATATGTGTGCCATATTTTTACTAAACACTAATTATAAATTATAATAGTAATATGATAGAATGTAGATAACTAGTGACAACCGTTTAAACAAACAAAAATATGAGTTTTTATCCTTTATTAGTGCATCCCCATCCCCTCATGGTGGTACGGAGGTAGGTACCATGAAAATGTTTCCAGCTATCATAGTTTAAGGCTCTACGTTGATCGGTCAGTCAGTTTTCCAGTTTTTTTTCAACTTTTCTTTCCTTATAATTGTTCTCCCGATGTATTTGGGAATATTAACTACTTTTCAAAAACCATTAGGTTTTTGACCAATATATTTTTTTTGTGCTTTTTGATGCAATTTTTTAAACATATGATGGCCGATATATCGTCGTTTAACGTCGATGCCATCATAAACAGTGACTGAAAAACTGAGGGAAATCCTCCTCGTGTGTATTTACCTTGAGCCATTTTATGTTTTCAATACCTACACCAATAAGTATCTCATGTTTAATTTGGGGTGGTCATCGTTTTCGTCAACAAATTTGATTTTTGTTTCATCCTAAGCGAAAAAAATTTCGATTGAAAGGCGAATAAACAAACTATCAGTGGTTCTATCTCAATAATATAGGTAGAAATAGGTTTGGGGAAAACGACTGACCTATAAAAATTAAAATTGATCTTAAGGAATTGTTTTGTAGTTAAGTAGACAGTTGTTTTTAACGGTATTTATGAATGGGAAATAAACACGATCCGTAGATCCCGAGGAATTCCAAAGCTATTAAGGAAAAACGAAGTAGATTTTGGTGGTGGACGGCGGAAGCGTGACTAAATTAATTAATTTTAGTCATTGGCAATTGAAAAAAATGTTAATCAAATTACGTCATGGAGTTGATATTAAGAATTTGCTATTTTAAATATTTCAAACAGTTAAGCAGTTGCGTAAAAACGACGCGATAATACGAACAACGATATGTAAATATATGTACCTACAGAAATTCCAGCTGATTATTTATTATTTTGTGCTATTGAAAGTCGTGCAACCATTTAATAATATGTATATGTAGATATTAAAATGGAATGTTGATTGTTACAACTTATAATAACGGTTAATAATGCGTGTTGTTATTATTGTTAATAGCGTCATAAAAAAACGTACCCCTGAACGGATAAGCCTAGGGCCTGGATTTCTAAGTAAATAAGATACTCTGAACAATTTTAATATAAAATAATAGTACATTAAATTTCCTGAACGACATGGTCTTGATTTACTTGAAGGCCGAAGTCACGAAAGAATGAGAAGAATATGTTTGTAATTTGTTACAATGATATAGACAAAATGTATAGCGAACTCCAGTGTTGGGTATTGCTACGTAAATACGTAATACAAATTACATATTCCTGTAACGAAATTACTTTAGTAGTAATGCTTTAGTAACTTAGTTATATTTTATTTAAATTAGCACAATTGTAAAGAAATAACTTTTTAAAGTAAAATCTTGACGTTTGTTATTTGAATTACAATATTAAATAATCTGAATTGTCAACAATTAATTTTCCTGAAGTACATATTTCACTCAGTCCTTTTACAAGACACCAAAACCACGCAAATTTGTAGTTACACCTGTCTAATTTTCCTTCAGATTTCCGACAATATCGTAAAAAATGCATAATTATTTAAAACGGTGTCTTTACTTTTGCAGAGAGAATGGCCGACAGCGTGCCCGTATCGGATGTTGTTTGCGTCGACGACATGGGCAAGGCCAGAGTCATGGAACCCGTGTTGGCGGACAAGGTGGCCGGTTTGAGGGACCAATGCACGGAATTCATGAGCGGTAACCGCTGGACGGACGGCGTGGTGGCCGGAAAAAGGAAAAGTAATCCTTCGTTTTTTAAACAGATATAGAGCTGTACCGCGAGGCGGTGGACACCTTTATCGGCGTCATGGACCATTTGGCCAAACAGGTGGAGCGAGAAAAGCGGGAAGCAATCGTCGCGTCGAACAAGCTGGCGTCGTTGCCCAACAAGGCCGAAGAAGAAATCGCTACATTACAAGTAACCGTGTGGTCGGACATTCCTGGGAGGGGGGAGGGTCAACATTGATTTGCTGTGTTTAATCTTTTCAATTTGTATTCTATTGCAGACACAAATCGAACAAAAAACCACGGAGCTCGAACGTTACAAGATCGAGCACAGGTCGCTGCAAAAAATCGAATCCGATCAAACAGATTTAATAAATCGGTTATCGTTTCAAAACTAAATGGTTTTTGATTACGTTTTATGACACTAGACCTGTGCGAATCATTTATAATAATTAACATTTCAAAGGCATAATGATACAAATATAAACAGCAATACATCAATATTATTTTTATGTTTTTTATTGTTTAATGATTAATCAAATTATTCCTTAACTATAAAATAATGCTTAAGCATAAAAATAATTATGGTAAATGCGTTTTTCATAATATATAATAAATAATATCATAATTATTGTATAGTATAAAAAAGAATAATCTGTGTATAATAAGTATTTTATGTATAAAATATATATGAATATTTTTTTCATCAGTACCTGATTTTCACATAACAAACTTGAAAATACAAATTATCATCAATATATAGGTAAAATAAAAAAAAAATAATTCGTTTTTAATTTTATCTACACGTCCAAGATTCTGTATAAAATGTAACAAATACAAAAAAAAAATTAAAATAAAATAAAATAGTAATAATAATAATAATAAGGAATGTGTAGCATATTACATTACTGACGAGTAATAATATGTAATTTGAATATAAATATAAAAATGTAAATGGCATTAATGTTTTTATTTTTATATGGTTAATGATTAATATGTATAAATAATTATTGTTGTTAGATAAGAAATTATTTTGTACAAACACAAAAATTTTTAAAAAAAAAACATAGAATAATTATAAATAAATAATAAATAATAACAGTTTCCCGTTCTTGGAAAAACAATGGGTGTTGTAATAATACTTAATGCTTTCCAGAATATTTTTCAAAATGTCAGAAGTGACAATTTTTATTTGGTGACAAATCAAAATTTTTAAGTATACAGTTTATATAAGTACAATACAATAATTGAGGGTGTTTTAAAGGGGGGGGGGGGAAATGTTTCTGGTTAAAACTATAATTTAAAAAAATTCGGTTTCTTTTTTGAGCCTTATTTTCGTTTTCACGGACCTGAAAAATAAACAAGGTATTATAATAATACTAGTTGTAATCAATGATTAAATGGCGAGATTAAACAAATACGATCGGTCAAAAAACTACATATTTATTTTCGTTATTGAGGATTAAAAATAGTATTTTATTTGTTTGTACATGCTATTATTCAAATATTATAGTTCTTACAATTATTCAATACTCGTAAAAAGTATTTATGAGTTACTCATTATAAGTTATCACTTATGTCTCATGGTTTGTTTTCTTTTTTCAGCGAAGAATTAAAAATATACCATAATATCAACGCAATATTTTACTGCCCATTTTTTTTGTTGTTGTTCAAGAGTTATAAATCAAAAAATCCCAATTTAAATTTTAAATGAGACAGTAGTTATACAAATAACTAAACAAATCGGTAAGACTAGATATTAATTAATATAAATAAATATACATATGTAATTAGTCTGGAATTAAAAATTAAACCTTTATTAGATAATATTATGCTAATACATTCATTGTTAATATTAGATTATATTTTAAAATAATAATTATCAGTATAAATTAAATACAATAGAATAAAATATTGATTTTGGGTTATTATTTTAAACTGAAATGAACAGCTATGTTCAAAACATTTTGTAAGCTTTCATCATACCTTGATGTTGGTTAAACAAAAACCAAAAGTAAAAATATATTTTTATCTAACCCAAAAATATACAATTGAAGAACAGATTAATTAAAAAAAAAAATTTTGAACATAGCTGTTGTTAAAGATAGTGCAAGGGCACGGATTAATTACTACATTTTCCCATGCATTTAATGTTGGAAAAAAACAGTGGCTTATGTACAAATTAAAAATATTTGCTTAACATTGAGAGGGTTGGAAAAATTACAATTTCAATTTTCAACATTGTACATAAATAAGCCAAGTTTTTATCAGAAAGGAGTTAAATTAGTGAGTCGGGAACTAAGAGGTGGTTGTTCATGTGCATTCCCTACATACCATTATTTATTTATTTTTTTGAATTGAAAAGAAATAATCTTGAAAATTTAGCGAGACCACATGTCTTCGGCACCTAAATATTGTAATATTAATTCACGCCATCCACTTGATCATAAGAAGAATACAATGGTATAGTTTATTCTAATTGTATTCATACTTTTATTGTTTTTGCTTACCAAGAGAATTTGTATCATTTGATCCATTGTTTGACTCTAGCGAATCATCTAGAGAACTTCCATGGACTGTCGATAAATCATCAATTGTTGAGCCTCGTTTACTACCGGTAGCGCCTATTCTGGAAGTTGTGGTCACTCCAGTTCTCCTGTAAACAAAATAAAATAATCATACATATTATATACTATTGAGCTTCTTCAAACAATGAGCAAATATTATAAAATGTATTATTAAGAACCTGAGTTTGCTTCTCAAATTATTGTTCTCCCTGGATATTGATTCATTGGATTCCAATAATTCATCGAGATCGCGCTGAATTTTTCGTTTCTGGTGTTTCTCTCTGCTGATTTCTTCTTCCGCTTCTTCGATTTGCCTTTTTAAGGATTTAACTCTGGCATTGCTCTAAAATAAGACACATTTTTACGTTGTAGCAATATTCTTGATAGGGTTTGACATACATACCTTTTCGACTTGTTCCTTGTACTGTTCAATTGTTCTTCTCTCATCTTCTAATTGCATCACGACTTCTTTCATTTTCTTCTCTAATTTACGGTTAGCTTTCTGTTGCAATTGTCTTTCCCTAATCATTGAAAACATTAGTAATGACAAGAGATACAATGAAAAATCCTTTTAATCAATCAGGTTATTTTTGTACACATACTTGGCTTCAGTTTCCAGTTGTTCATCGAGATTGGCAATCTTAGATTCCAAGTTGGCAATGGCAGTTTTAGTTTTTACTCGTTGATTGGTTTCAATTTCTGCCAATTTGGCCTTTAGTTCTTTGTTTTGTCTGTCAAATAACATTTTATTGGTCTCCAACTTCTGTGTTGTTGCTCGTTCATTTGCCAAATCTTACAAAAATTATTATCAAATAAAATTTTTTGGTAAAATACAAAATGTATAATTAATTTACCTGAATTCATCTGTTCAATCTGAATTAGAGCTTTTCTAATTCGTTCATTCAACGCTTCTGACATTGTCTGTTCTTCTTCCAATTCTTCTTCCAATGTAGATATCCTTGCTTCCATGCGACGCTTTTCATCAACCATTAATGTACTGCTAACAAACAAAATAAAATACCTATTAAAAATCATTCAATTTGGTTTCAAAAGTAATAAGACAAACCCTTTGTTGGAATTGCTATTCATTTCTTCAAGCAGATCATCACGTTCACTTTCTGCAACACGTCTGGCTCTTTCAGATGCAGACAACTCTTCTGTCAACAACAGTAATTCAGCTTCAACCGATTTCAATTTACGCTCAGTTTCTTTAGACGTGGCCGAAAGCTCATCGCGAGAAGCTCTAGCCTCTTCAGCGTCACGGGTAGCATCCTTCAATTGAACTTGTAATTTTTTAAGTTGTTTCAAGGCATCTTCCTTCAATTTGTTGTGCATGTCCAACTGTTGTTCTAGATCTTTGTAATCGGCTTCGATTTTCTTGCGAGCAGCCATTGCAGTAGATCTTTGTTTACGTTCATCTTCCAGTTCAGCTTCAATGTCACGAATTTGCTTCAGAAGTCCTCTACGTTTTTCTTCACTTTGCTCTTCTTTGGCCTAAAAGTTTATAATTAATTTGATTAACTCAATTATATCCATACAATTTTTTTTATTTTTTATTTATATTAGTTGACACCAATAGACATTTATAACAGTATTGACAAAAGTATTTTAACAAAACAAAATATTTAAGATACAATTAAAAATACAATAATAATACAAATGTATGTGTTAAAAATATGAACAAAAATAATAAGTGTCTAGGTAAAAAATTATTGGTAGTTATTAAATACGGATTTGATAGGGGCTTCTTTTTTTTTTAAATTGCTAGGCCTAGTGGTATGTAAAAAATCTTTGTCACGGATATTACCAGGGACTAAACTAATTAAAAACGTTTATTGATTTATAGTAACAATGATCAAATATAAGCTATAAGCATTAAACAAAAGGAAAAATAGGTGTTGTAATACTGGCCAATGGTAGTTTTAGGCTAAATTTACATAAATGGATATTTATTTATAGTATTTTCATAAATCACTTACAACAAGATCACGTTCAAACTGAGCCCTCAATGCTTGCATGTTCACTTCAAGTCTTAATTTAGCATCTTCAGTTATTTGAAGTTCATCTTCCAAATCTTCATTCTGTACACGTATTTCAGCCAATTGTGATTCTAATATTCTTTTAGCTTTTTCCAATTCATGAACCTAGAAAAATATTGTTATTTATTATTTTTTTCAAATATTTGAATAATAAGTGTACACAAACATTTTTGTCAGCTGTTCCTTGGCTATTTATCAATTCATCCAACTCATTTTGAAGCGTTCTCTTTCCTCTTTCCAATTCTTCAACTTTTACCATCATTTCATCTAGCTCTCTGGTTAAAGAAAGCACACGTGTTTCCTTTTCACGAGCTTCTCGTTCAGCAGTGTCACGTTCAATAGCCATTTGTTCAGAAACCGCCTAAATTTTTAGTATTTACAAACATTATTTTAAATACTTTTTTATAAAAGGTAATAAATGAGAGTAAATCTAGTTATATTGTTACCTTTTCTTCAGCAAGGGTTTTATCAAATATTCTTTGTTTCTTTTCAAGTTCGATAACCTTGGAACGCTGGGCTTCTAAATCAATATTAATATCATCTAGTTCTGATTGAAGTTTCTTCTTAGACTTTTCCAATTTATCATTTGTTGCTTGCAATTCTTCAATTTGTCGTTGTAACAATTCCACGTCCTAAACCAAATATATGTAAATATAATTGTTTAACTAATATAACTTAGTAATCATATAATTTACCTTAAAGGTTTTCTTATAAGCAGCTTCCATTGCAGCAGTTGATTCAGCATCATCTTCCATTTTTTTCCTGATTTCAGTTATTTGTAAATTAAGAGCAACTATTTGTTTTTCCATGTTTTTCTTGGACTCTTCTTCTTCCTCCAATTGTTCTTGTAAAATTTCTTTTTCACTTTCGATTTGTTTCAGTTTTGAGTTCAATGAT